GGGGGTTCCAGCATCCATGTGGGATGGAAGGGACCTGGTGGGGACACCTGCTCCAGGACACACACGGCACAGGGATGCACATGCAGATGTAGAGGCTCTGCTCTGGAACAGGGGCTTGTGCTGAGCCACCCTCGCAGGGAAGAGGGGTCCTGGGCTCATCCCATGGGGAAAGGGCTGAGAGCATCCCACTAAGCCAGGATGTCACCCCAAGAGGCTGGGATGTCATCCCATGGGGATGGGAAGTCACCCCAGAGGCACCCTGGCCAACACTGTACTAACGGACGTGGCAGACATGGGCTCCCAAGCAAAGCACCGGGCTGGGGCAGTGTTCAGACACCCAGGAGGTGTGTTTTATTGCAAAGAAAACAAAACCACAACCCCGTTGCTCCCAGGGCCAGACGCGAGCGTTTGTGAGCGTTCCCCGGCAGCAATCCCGAGCAGCGGCAGGGACTGCCGATGTCTGGGGTTTTTTTTTGAAGAAGGGCTGGGAGCCTGGCTGTCAGCCAGGATGAGCCCGCGAGGCTCCCCTGAGCCAGCACAGATGACATGGATGTTGTCTCTTACTGTTTGAGCTGCCCCAAACCCTCTGTGAAGGAAAAGTGCTCCTGCGTGGCTGCGGAGATGGGCTGGAGCGAGTGAGCTGCTGCTGGCAGCGGGTGCAGTGGGGTCCTGCTGTGATGCTGTAAGGTCACATTGCAATAATCCATATGATAACATATCCATTTCAGCCTGCACCCTTTGCCTGGAGGGATCCTTATGGTGTTCTGCAGTATGCCACGTCCTAGCACATGTTGGACTCCATATTACAGGTGCTGTTCTAGACATCTGGGCAACAAGATCCCATCTCCTTCCTCTGCAGACAGGGATGTCCTCCCACAGACCATCGTGCAGGAGCCTGGTGCAAGCCCCTCTGCTCACAGGCGAGTCCAGCCCCTCGTGAATAAAGCAGGCGACAGTCCTGGGCAAGTCACAGGAAACAAATACCCAAAGAGGGAGGAAAAGTCCTTTTTGTACATCTTCTTTTTCATCTCCACCTCCCAGCAGCCACCCAGTGCCAGTGCGATCAAACGTTTGGCGGATGGGACCACACTGTGATGTCCAGGTATGTGGAAGGCAGTTCTCCAGGACTGGCTCTGCCCCCCGCGCCGGGCACCCCGCTCTGAGTCCAGCTTTGACAGTTTTTGTTAAAAAGAAGTGTAACTACATTAAGGTGATAGAAAAGCTTCCCGTTACAAATGCTAAGACAAAGTTTCTCTTTAAATCCTCCCTGTGCAGAGCTGGAAACCCAAGCGCTGAACAACAGAGTGAGTGGGCTATCAACAGCCTCTCCACAGTGCTCCCCAGCCCGCAGGTCCAGGATGACCCATCTCTGCAGGGCTGGGGGAGAGGGACAACAGTGCAATCGACTTAACAAGATCTGCCTAGTGCAAAAACATGATACAGAGAAAGAAGGTATAAAAAGTATCACCAGACTAAAGTGAAATGCTATTAACCAGTGATTTCTGGGGCTAAATGGAGATCATACAGCTGGGTGCACCCTGTCAGAGACAGCAGAAAGTCGTTTGCAGCCTCATGACAGCCACCCTTACACTCTCAAGATCACCTGGATGCTCCGGACACTCAAGAGAGTTCCACAGTCTCTGGAAAACTTGAGGCCATAAGAAGCTGGAAGAGCAAACGAGGAGAATCTGGTAGCTTATGAACAAGCCCACAAAACCCCCTTGGTTTCTTTAAAGTGTGAACACTTTACACCAGATCAGGAGGTGCTGAGCCCAGCAGTGCTTTATCAGCACCTTTGATTACTAAAGCAGAGAGAAAATAGGGCAGCAAAGCAGCTCCTGGCAATGATGGGCACCAAGGAAGTGTTTTGTGGGTGAACTGATGCACATCTTATCGGTGGCGTTATTATTTTAATAGCCACTGGGCATTAAAAACATACTTAATGACATTGATTATTTGACTTGGAAACACTGATATGGTGACACTGCCCAAGGGCCTGTTACCCTAAGTGCTACACAAACTCAAATCTTAACTCCATGCTTTAATGTACTCCTCGTGTCCTAACAACTCGCATTTACTCCTGTGAGCCCCAAAGTGCCATCAACAGAGCCACTGAACCTGGGCAGCTTCACTGCACAGACCCATCACACCCAGCAGGAGCCATCAGCAAGGGGTGGTCAGAGAAGTGCCATGGGTGGATGGTCATGTCCATGCCCTGTGCCCCTTCATCAACTGCTGGGGCAGGAGATGGAGCTCCTCTGACCATCTCTGCAACCAACAGGATACAAAAGAGGCTGATGATCACCACCTTCTACATAACACGGGGAAAGGCGTGGAGGTGGGACAAAACCACTGGAAATTGGAATCTGGATAGGAAACCAAAGGCTATTGTCACCTTTCATGAATCCCTAAGAGACTGATAGCAACGTGGTCCTCCATCGAGGTGATCTGTGATTCAGTTTGTATGCAAAGCGCTATGCAAAATGAACCAACAGACTCTGTACCTTGACTTGAGGCACTCACACCAGGGGTGAACATGCTAAAAAGATCTGTACACACAGGGATAGATTTACAGGCATCAGGCTGCACATCTGGGGTCTTTCTGTACAAAGGTTCCCTTAAAGACCAAATGCAAAGCTGCACCTTGCAGTAAGCAAGCACACAGATCACCTAACAGAGGAATACTGCTGCCTCTGATCAAAGCAAGTCCCTCAGTCCCTCAATGACAGGAGAAACGAATTCTGGGATCTCAGGCTAGACAGTAGTTCTGAGTTTAGGCAGGGCTCAGAGAACAATTATGCATTCACGTGCCTTTTATTACACATCTTTAGGAAGGAGCTGGAGCCTCAAAGTTGCCTGATGCATTCCTGAGCAATGTTCACTGGGGACCTCTTAGATCTCCTCTCATCCGAACTGGCTTTTACACTTGCTTAAATGCAGTGGTTTGAAAGACACTACCCCAATTTACACACATGGGACAATAAACACCCCCCCAGAGCAGGATGCTGAGAAGGAAACGAAAAGACCACAAAATTATCTGTATCTGACTTCTTACTGCTCTCCCTGTTTAAAAAGTCTCACATAGTCTTTACACTTACCTCAAAAAGACCCACTGAAACCAAACTACCCTGGAAAATAGAGCAGGGGTGGAGCAGGCCTGCCAGTCTAAAACTGAGACTCACACAGGGATACTTTGCTGCTTATTTCACAGGCTGCCGCATGAAAGAGGCTTTTAAATGACCTTTCCAAGCAACTCTCCGACCTAAAGCGAGTTTCCAGCTAAGATGCTGCCCCACGGCACCACATTCTCTGCAACCAGTCAAAGCAAGGGTAAAGTGCTCAAACTCTGCACACTCAGCCTGGAGCTGCGGAGCTGGAACAGGGAGTGGGGCTGTCTGTGGTGGGTGGGGGGAACTGAGATGACAGTAGGATGTTTTCCCCAATATAAACAGCCCACCTCACCAGCAGCTGAGTGCTGGAGCACTACAAAACCTCTTTTCACCTGTGGAAGGCAAACTCGGCCCAGGACCTCACCAATTCTTGGCTCCCCTCCACCCAGAATGCAGAAGTTTTACTGCACCTGCAGGGACTGAGTGTGATCTCAAGGTCAGGTTCTGGCTGCCAGAATTCCAGCTGCACTCCCAAAGTGAATTTACTCTGCAGAGCTGGACTCCTGGTGGCAGATTTAGCCTCTCCACCTTGCTTCTCAAGCCCAGCCACTCTCAGCCACTACCAGAGAGCTACAGTAAGTGCATTTAAAGGTGATGAAAGCATTGGTGCTACTGATAGGAACACACACACAGAGACCTACAAACCCACCCCTCCCTCTTCCCTCTGTTCAGTGATCCTCCTGGCTCCAAGCCTCAGATGCAGGCTCAGGACTTCCACTGGGAAAACTTCCCCAAAGGCTTAACCTCTTCTAAGCCTTTAAGAAGTTCCTGAGAAGCCACCTGATCCCGTGGTCCATCAGTCAAGATAGGAGAGAGACAAGTGTGTGTGAGGGGGTGGTTCCCTCCCTTCTTCTTCTAGAGATGCGTGTCTTCCTCAAACACATCCACATCCTCGCTCGCCTGCTTGTTGATGAGCACGTCCCAGCTCTCAGGGCCATTGATGGTGTTCCCACCGTTCACGCTCGGCTTCTTCTCCTGCATCTCCGACTGGCTGTTACCGGCCACTGGCAGCCGTTCTCCACAAAGCGCAGCTCCTCGCCGTGCGACTGTGGGAAGAACACAAACAGAGACAAAGGAGGACAGGACTTAATGCTGCCGAGGAGCACAATCACAGCAGGCTGTGAGGGCCACCAGGGACCCTGCAGGGTCACTGGGAAAAGGTACATTTACTCCTAGCCCAGCCCTCACAGAGGAAAAGAGCACAGCAAGAGACAGGTTTGCATCTCTTACACTTGAATAGGCTCCCTTGCTGCTCCAGCAGTGTATCCAGCTAAGTGGACAAGGGAAATCCACCTCCCTCAACTTCCCAACCCCTCCATCCCAAGAGCTAAGAGCTTAGCCACCTTCTCTACCAGTGCTCACCATGTTCTTCATCTTGGGCAGGCGTCGCTGCCAGCAGTTGTATATGAGCCCCAGTACAATGATGATGGCACAGATGGAGCCGATGATCACCAGGACCACGAAGAGCTTCCCATAATCACTGCGTGTCTGGTTGGGGTGCGACTGGCAGCTTGTAGTGGTTGAGTAGTTCTGGATGCCAATCTGGAAGGAAGGAAGGAAGGGATACGTTAAATCCCTGCAGTCAGGTGGAATCCTGCTCAGACTTTCCAGGGTGCAAGTACAGGACCACCACTGTGAGAAGAACTAAAAGCCAGCATCAAGGAGCCAGGATGTACACTGGCTTATGTGACTAGAAGGCACATAACTAAATATAACAACATCTTCCATGAAAGCTGACACGACAGCAAATGACAGTAGGTACGATCTTATCTTGACCACCTACATAAGGATCACATCCATGTGCAAGACAAGGAGGCTTGCATAGGGGCACAATGGCAAGTCACACCTTGCACCAACGCGAATCCTTTCTGGACACCTCCAGCTGCTGATACTTCAGTCACACAATTTCTACAGGGCTGGCTTTTTGCACTTTCTCTGGTCTAAGCCAAGCAATACACACCAAACACTTAAGTTGCTTTGTCCAACAGCACCAGTTTGAGAGGTTGGGGGAAAACCTGAGAGCAGCCAGCCAACAAGGCAGGGACTAAACCCAACAGAATTATTCCAACAGTGTAAAAAATCCAAGCAGAATAAAGCCCTTAGTGCCTACATGTCCATAAGACCTAAGAGGCAAAGTCAGAAATCATGGGATTAATTTGTCCTCATCTCCATCCTCTTCAGAGCTGCCCAAGGTTAGAAGGGAACACGTGAGGGCTAGAGGCAGCGGGCAGAGGAGTCTGGCATCCATTGCCTCTGGTCCTCTGCCTGCCCTTGTGTAGACTACCATCTAAAAGAGTGAAATGCAGATCCTGGGATTGCAGGAAGAAGGTGTGTGAACATGTCTCATCTAGTGCAGGCACCTCTCCCACCTCTTCAGCAAAGCTTGAGAGCAGCCAATGTATGTAAATCAGCTGTAGGGTAAGCAGGGCCAAATCTGGGGCTTTGCAGCACCCACATTGCCACTGGCAATAGCATAGAAGGGATGAGACCAAGTATTCCAACAAAATGAATGTGTGAAAAGCAGCTTCACAGCCAAGCCAGAAAAGCAAGGAGGGAATAACCCATAGTTACTCTCTTAATGGGAGCAGACATTTGATGGCCTGGCAGCTACCAGAGAGGGGAGAAGGGAGTTTGCCAAGTGTCTGACTCATCTGTTTGCCTGCACTCGGTTAGACTGAGATATGCTCCTGTGGAGACGTTTCTAGTGGAAGCAGGGGGGCACAACTACATGGAGCTGTAGAAGAAGGCCCCAGAGGGTAAAACCAGACATGAACGAGAGTGAACCCAGACCAAGAAAGAGAAGATCAAAGTCAGCGTTAACAGCCACATTACGTAGTGTCGCGTGGACAGTAGTAGGTAGCAAATGAAATGTATAGTCCAGGCGCGTGAACAGATAAGAATAACCAATCTGCTGTGGCCAAGTAGAACTTCTTTGTTACCAAAAGATATATAAACGCAGCTAGCGAACAAACTAGGTCTTCGATCTCTCATCGGAGTCCGTGCCTTCCATCCCCTCAAATGGTGACCCCGACGTGACAGGGGATCGAAAGGCGCAGCTCGCGGAAGAGGGCTGCGTACTCCACGGGGGACGGCTCGGTCTTGCCAGCTGGGCTGAGAGGACTGCAGATCCCGGGTCGACTACATGAATGTACATCACCTACACCGATGGAGAGGTAGGTGAGCAACCGAGAGACAGGACAGAGAAGCAGGCAAGATGGGTTCCAACATGTCGGCAGAAGAACGCACCGTCATAAAGATGTTACAGCATATTTTAAAGAAAAGGAGATTGTGTACGAGAAGTACCCCTCAGAACTTTTATTAGCATGGCTCAAAAGCAAAGGATTGGCAGCAGAGACACCACAGGCTTTTGACTGAGAGAGCTGGAAAAAGGCGGGAGACTTGCTCTTTGAACATGCGTCTCAGAGAGACTCAAACGCGACCCGAGTCTTAACGACTTGGCGTTTGGTGTATGAGACTTTAAAAGAGATGCGATGTGAAAAAGCTGTTAGCAAGGGCAAGAAGCAGAGGGAGAATCTGATGGGGAGAAAGGAGAGGGCGGCTCAGCCTCTGATAAGGAACACGAGGACAAAGGAATAGAACTGCCCTGTCCTGAGCGGGAGCCTGAGCAAAAAATGCCGTCGGCATCCCCACTTCCCCCAGAGGGAGTGGCACTTCTGATAGCTGTAAACACAGACACATTATGTACAGAAAGAGACAATCCGGGAAGCCAAATTCGTGAGGGCTGGAGACGAGTCCACATGGACCGACTAAAGGAAGTGGAACATTCAGCCTTACCAACAGTGCTCCATGCCAGTCAACCTGGGACTTGTCAAGCGTTCAACTGGGAGCTAATAAAAGAAGTAATGCAAAACGGATTACACGCCCCGTTTACGCGGACACTGTTAGAAATGTTTTGGGAGGACAATTAGTAACACCCTATGATTGTGACCAATTAGCATCACTCATTTTAACCCCCCCACAAAAATTGTTATGGAAAGATAAATGGGGAGAGCTGTGTGAAGCACAAGCCCTCGAGAACCTCAATCGTCAACCAGGAGACCCGCGCCTAGGGGTGAGAACACAGCACCTTCTGGGCACAGGGCCTTTTGGAACTCCCAAGGTCCAAGCGCAAATGCAACCAGGTGTATTCAGAGACTCAGCTACACTTGCTTTAAGAGCCTTTGGTTGTTTCCCTATTTCGGGGATGGCAGCAGTGTTGTTTGTTAAAATTCTACAATAGAGGGATGAGTCCTATATGGAGTTTATCGATCGGTTGAGAGATGCGGTAGACAAACAAATAGATAATCCTGAGGCTAAAGAATCTCTATTGTCGAAATTTGTGGTAGAAAATGTCAGTGGGGACTGTAAAAAGGCGTTGTTAACTCTACCACGAACCACCACCTTGGTGGAAATGGTAGAAGCGGCAAATCGAATTGGCTCACTAGAGCACCAACACAACTTGTTGTGTTGGCAGGAGCTTTTGCTGCAGCTATGAGACCGTTAGCGACTTCCTCAAAAAGATGCTATAATTGTGGAAAACCTGGCCACCTGAGCTTTCAGTGTGATCAACCAAAAAAAGAAAGGGGCAGAATGCAGGACGGACAGCCTCCGGGATTATGCCTGAGATGAGACCTCACTTGGAGTATTGTGTCCAGTTCTGGTGTCCTCAACATAAAAGGGACATGGAGCTGTTGGAGCAAGTCCAGAGGAGGGCCACGAGGATGATAAGAGGACTGGAGCACCTCCCGTATGAAGACAGGCTGAGAAAGTTGGGGCTGTTCAGCCTGGAAAAGAGAAGGCTGCGTGGAGACCTTATAGCAGCCTTCCAATATCTGAAGGGGGCCTACAAGCATGCTGGGGAGGGACTCTTCATTAGGGACTCTAGTGGTAGGACAAGGGGGAATGGGTTTAAACAGGGGAACTTTAGGTTAGATATAAGGAAGAAGTTCTTCACAGTGAGGGTGGTGAGGCACTGGAATAGGTTGCCCAAGGAAGTTGTGAATGCTCCAACCCTGGAGGAGTTTAAGGCTAGGCTGGACAGAGCCTTGGGTGACATAGTTTAGTGTGTGGTGTCCCTGCTCATGGCAGGGGGGTTTGAACTAGATGATCTTAAGGTCCTTTCCAACCTTAACTATTCTATGATTCTATGCCATAAAGGCAGGCACCATGTCAACCAATGTCAATCTCGATCAAGGCGGCCGACCCCTAGAACCCATCCAGTGAAACCAGAAGCTCAGCACGGGTCAGGGCCGCGCCAAGACACAAATGCTCCTGAACGTAGTGGGCAACCCTGCATCACTGAGCAACCACCATCCGGATGCCTGGATCAGCTCACCGCGAAAACTAGTGGAAGTGCCGGAGTGGATGTAACCACCATAGAAGATGTAACATTAATATCGGTGGGTGTCCACACGGTGGCGCTCAATGCACACGGACCTTTAGGACATTCAGTGCACTCCTATGAGGTCGTTCTAGTCTCACTTTACAAGGCATTTTTGTTTTACCAGGAGTAATCGATGCGGATTTTTTAGGTCGAATAAAGGCAATGGTGTGGACTCCAAGCCCCCCAGTGCACATTCCTAAGGACACAAGATTAGCCCAATTAATCCCTTTTAGAAACCAGGCTCCAAAGACAAAGACAAATTAGGAGAGGCACGGGAAGCTTCAGGTCCACAGGCCAAGAAGCCAATGTAATATGGGCTTTAGAAATTCAACAATCGAAACCAAAACTACAGATCAAATTAAGTTGGGGAGATCAGATAGTCTGGATAGAGGTCTTGGTAGATACCGGAGCTGATGTCATGGTTATAGCCAAAAAAGACTGGCCCAAAAACCGACCGCTATCCAACCCCTAAGGTACACTAGTAGGAGTGGGAGAAAATACGACCACGAAACAAAGCTGTCACATAGTGACCTTTCAGACAGCAGACAGCCCGAAATGTTTAGCAAGACCATATATAGCAGTGATCCCAATGAATCTTCTGGGACGAGATGTGTTAGGCCAAATGGGCTGTGTGGTTTCTGCAAGAGACCAAATTTTTAATTGAGGCCACTGAAGGGCAACCAGCACTCAAACTGAAATAGAAAACAGACAAACGAGTTTGGGTAGATCAGTGGCTGCTCACTACAGAAAAGGTTGCCATTCTAGAACAACTTACTCAAGAACAACTACAAGCAGGGCACATTTGCCCATCTACCAGCCCATGGAACACACCAGTGTTTGTAATCCCGAAAAAATCAGGCAAATGGAGACTTATTACATGATTTATGCCAGATCAATGAAATACTAGAAGATACAGGACCTCTCCAACCTGGACTTCCATCACCCACCATGATCTATAAAGACGGGAACATTCTGGTGATAGACCTGAAAGACTGCTTTTTTACTATCCCCATTGACCCCAAAGATAGTGACCGTTTTGCTTTTTCAGACACACCAGTGTTTGTAATCCCGAAAAAATCAGGCAAATGGAGACTTATTACATGATTTATGCCAGATCAATGAAATACTAGAAGATACAGGACCTCTCCAACCTGGACTTCCATCACCCACCATGATCTATAAAGACGGGAACATTCTGGTGATAGACCTGAAAGACTGCTTTTTTACTATCCCCATTGACCCCAAAGATAGTGACCGTTTTGCTTTTTCAGTGCCTTCAACCAACAAACAAGGGCCAATGCACAGGTTCCACTGGACAGTATTGCCACAGGGAATGAAGAATTCTCTCTATATGCCAGAAGTATGTAGACAGAGCATTAACACCTTTTCGGAAGAAGTACCTTCACTTGTTAATGTATCATTATATGGATGATATTTTGATAGCAGGACAGATAGATCTGGAACCACTCAAACAGGAGTTGTGTTTAACCCTTGAGCCGTACCATTTAAAAATTACACCTGAAAAGGTCCAAACTAGTATGCCATGGAAATATCTTGGTTGGAAAATTTTAGACCAAACCATTGAACCTCAGAAGGTGTCGATCCACAGGGAGGTCCAAACACTAAACGATGTGCAGATTCTCTTAGGAAACATAAACTGGGTCCAATCACTAGTGGGTATCGATAACAGAACATTAGAACTGCTATCTGAACTGTTGAAGGGAGACACCAATCTAAACGCTCCCCACAAATTGACCCCTGCAGCCCAACAAGCCCTTAAGGCAGTCAATGAAGCTTTAACTCAGAAACAAGCACATCGTGCAGTGTTTGGAATTCCCACTGAGTTACTGCTTATTAATCGTGATTTTCAGCCTAACGGATTGATTATGCAATGGGTTGAGGAAGAACAAGATCCTCTAAAAATATTAGAATGGTTATTTCTTGCACATCAGCCTCCAAAATCTGTTACGACCAGACCACAAATGTTTGCACGATTGATTATAAAAGGAAGAGAGTGGATAGTAGATTTGTCAGGAGCAGAACCCCATGTTATCGTTATTCCTTTGACAGAACAGTGCTTACAATGGTGTATGCAAAATAGCCTTCCATTGCAGGTAGCACTCACTGGCTATGGAGGAGCTACTGAAATACACTCTCGTAGTCATTGTTATTCACTTTTATGCAACAGGAGTGCCTTGTGGAACACCCCAAATGTAGTCCAGTGCCTGTGCACGGACCCACAGGTTTTACAGCTGGCAGCAGGAGAACCAGCAAGGCCACTATCATATGGCAGGAAGACAGCAGCTGGAAATGGATAGTGGTGTATTCACAAGGCTCTCCACAAAGAGTGGAACTAAGAGCTGTAACAGAAGTTTTTAAACATTGGGCCACAGTTCCCATCAATATTATTTCAGACTCAATCTATGTAGTTCAATGTCTAGAAAGGGCCTACTTAAAACACCTAACAGTTGAGAATTTGTTTTTGCAAATGAAACAACTATGGTTTTTACTGACACAACGGGCACATCCGTATTATATCTGTCACCACCGCAGCCACACAAGTTTACCAGAATTCTGTGCTGAGGATAACACTAAAGCAGATCTTTTAATGCAACCGGTCAGCGTCTCTCCCATTCCCAACACATGGCAACAGGCTAAATTATCAGGTGAATTTTTTCATCAATCAGCAAAGGTACTCAGATGACAATTTCACTTAACTATGGCAGATGCCAAAGCGACTATTCAAGTGTGTCCTGACTGCCAACGCTTAGCAAAGGGACCGACAGTTGCAGTTAACCCTCGTGGTCTGCACTCACTACAGATATGGCAGATGGACGTTACACACATTCCTGAATTTGGCAAGCAAAAATATGCACGTGTCAGTGGACGCATTCTCACAAGCAGTATGTATAACAGCACTGGGAGGAGAAGCCTCTCGCCACGTCCAAACTCACTGCTGTCAAGCATTTGCCACTCTAGGTATCCCAAAACAAATTAAGACAGACAACGGTCCCGCGTATCTCTCTCACTCAACGCAATGGTTTTTTCACCACTGGGGAATTAAGCATGTGACAGGCATCGCACATTCCCCCACAGGTCAAGCAACTGTTGAAAGAATGCATCAAAGTTGTATTTACAAAAACAAAACGAGGGGGAGTCAGGAGAACCCCCGGCGAATAGACTAGCTAAGGTACAGGATGTTTTAAACTTTCTGTCACTGCAAGGGGACGCCTCCGTCCCCCCCATAGTAACATATATGCAAGCAACATCTACAGGGATGACAGCATTTACAGAGGAAATTAAAGTCTTAGTGAGAACTCCAGAAGGAAATTGGGAGGGCTCTATGAAGCTATTAACGTGGGGTTGAGGGTATGCCTGTGTTTCCACAGGTAACGGACCACGATGGGTCCCAGCGAAATGGGTCGAGCCAGCCCTACAGAAGCACTCTGAGGAATGGTAATTGTAATCTGCATAGCCTTGAGTACAGCCTTTGCGCCATGGCAGGTGGCACCCTGTCAGAATTTTGGGTGACATGTGCTAATTCGACTAACCAGTCATCCTTTTGTCTATCCTTAACAACCCCTGGAGACCCCTTTCACACATGTCTAATAGGGATGAATGATGTGCAAAACTGGAGAGTGTTTAAAGATTATGTTAATAACCCACGTGTCTTTCAGACAGTTACAAATGCAACCCATATTCAAAGTAATACAACACCTAAATCGCACTGGGCCAGACCCTGAGGAACTTGATATCATGGCCACCCCCGGAAACAACAGTTGTGTTAGGTTTAGTCCTCGAGGCGAAAAGGTGGCTGCACAACTTCAGGGATTGACCACACATTTGCTCAGCGACCTTCTGGGGCGAAAACGTATGAGAAAATGGTTGAATTATCCAAATATGCAAAATATAAGCCCCTATGATGAAGGCTATGACAACACCACTTGTTAGCGATAGTAGAATCGAACACCACAACAAAGCCAAAGTTGCTGCCACCGGGAATATTTTTACTGTGTGGTGACAGGGCATGGCCAGGAATTCCTGCTAGACCTGTAGGAGCCGCTAGGAGGGCCATGTACTTTAGAGAGGCTAACCATGTTTGCTCCATCCATGCACCAGATATTGAATCAAACCATTAAATCTACTGGTAAGGAGAGAGAGCTAACACAGTGTACCTCGAACTGTAATTCACAAGTAAAAAAGTGGAATATTGCTGAACGAGTGATGGTCTCTCTGTTTGCCCCACAGGTAGGAGTAGCCAAAGCATTAGGAAATACTGACAAGCTTTCTTGTCTTGTAGCAAAACAAAACAATCTAACCTCGGCCTTAGTATCAGAACTTGCTTTAGATTTAGGCTCAATTAGATGTGCTACACTTCAAAATAGGGCTGCCATTGATTTTTTGTTGTTAGCTCAAGGACACGGGTGTGAAGAGTTTGAAGGCATGTGTTGCATGAACCTTTCTGATCATTCAGAATCAATTCACAATTAACTAAAACAATTACAGGATCTAGCACAAGAGCTTGGCCAGAATAGTGGAGGTAGTTGGTTAGGAGACCTAATAGGAAGATGGGGCATCACAGGATAGTTAAAACAGTTGCTTATTCGCGGAGGAATGTTTCTTGTTTTAATTTTGTGTGTACTAATGATAATCCCTTGTATATTACAGTGTGTACAAAATATGATTTTAAAACATATTCAAACCATTAACACTGCTGCTGTTGAAAACAGAGGGGGAATTGTGGAGACATTTCTAGTGGAAGCAGGAGGCCACAACTACATGGAGCTGGTAGAAGAAGGCCCCAAAGGATAAAAACGGACATGAACAAGAGTGAACCCAGACCAAGGAGAAAGCTACGAAGAGAAGATGCCAAGTCAGCATTAATAGCCGCATTACGTAGTGTCCCGTGGACAGTAGTAGGTAGCAAATGAAATGTATAGTCCAGGCACGTGAACAGATAAGAATAACCAATCTGCTGTGGCCAAGTAGAACTTCTTTGTTACCAAAAGATATATAAACGCAGCCAGTGAACAAACTAGGTCTTGGATCTCTCATCGGAGTCCGTGCCTTCCATCCCCTCATGCTCCCAGCTTTCAAGTTGCTTATTTTAATTGTATAGCTAGTCTTAACAAATGGAGGCAGGCAGGCAGGCTCTTACCTCGGCTAAGCTCCTCTTAATGTCCCCCAGTGCCAGGAGAACATCTTTTGTAGGGATGACGCCTGTGAAGAAGGAGAGGAAGAGATCAGTGCTGCTCAGCTCAAGGTAGCTCAGATGTACCATCAGTCTGAAATCCCCGGCAGGAAGGAGCCTTCAAGACCTCCATCTCGCAGCACTTACCTTGTTCCCCTGCCAGAGTCATCAGCAAGTGCTTGTCGTTCTCGTTGGGTTTGCTCAGAGAGATGAGCCAGCGGTCCTGCAGTCCATCCGCCTGTCTGGAGAAGGCATCCTCCACCAGTGCCAGCAGCTGGGGACCCTTCTCCAGCCGAAACTCCTCCTGCCACAGGAAAGGACCTTGGTGAGTGCATGGTGGGAACAGGGCAGATGCAGCACTGCAGGGCTGGCACGACTGTACCACCAAGACCCCTGCGCCAGGCGTGCAATGCTAAATCTGGTCCAGCGCTCCCCGGCTCATCCCAGGCTGGACCCACACACGTCTCCTGGTGCACCAACCCTTCTTCTCGGCTCCTGTGGCCTCCATACACCCCACACCGTGCCAAGCCCAGGTCCTCCAGCACATCGGGGTGCTGAGGTGATGTTATGGTGTAAGAAGGATGCAGCGGGAGCCGCTCGGCCCCACAACATGCTCCAGCCACCCCTCGGCCGCTGCTTTGCCGCTTTCCCGCTCCCGGGTTTCTATTCCTGTCTCCGGTTGCCATGCCAACATGAAGGCCACGCAGCTGATTAATAAAATGGAGAGCTCCCGTTGCCATAGCGATGTGAAGCGCTCAGGGCAGGCACAGGCCTGTGCCCAAAATGGCCTAATTGGAAGAGACACCAATGACTGGGGCCTGAATCACAAGGGGCAGCAGTGCCCTCACCTCACCGGGCTGTGGTTTGGGCATGGTGAGGCAGGAGGATGCAGCATCAGGCCACCAGGTCCTGGCTCTGTTCTGGGGGATGCAGAGAAGGGGGGAACAGCTGAGCCCAAGAGCAGAGGAGGACAGAAGTGAGATGTGATGGGCAAAACTGAGGTTGCAGCGCACTGATAAATCATCCATGGTGGAGAAATAGGAGCTGTGAAGGAGCCTGAATGCACAGGAGCCAATGTGGAGGTCACCTCTCAGTGGGTAGCCAGGCACCACTGCTGGGTTTAGACCCTGCAGTCCTCACTTGGGCAAAATTCCCAGGTATATGGAGTGGGAGAAGTGCCCAGAGAGAGGCTGAAGTGACTCCCTTGCCCAGAGCCCATTAGGAAGATAAATGGACTGCCAGCTTAACCCAGCGATACAGACATCATCCCTGCAGGAGGCAAGAGCCTGGCACTACGAAGAGTATTAAAGCTCAAGGTACAACCCTCTGGAAGGGGCTAAGCATCCTCCTGGTCCCTCTGCTTTTCAGTGGGACTGTGTACTGCACCAGATCATCATCAAAACAAAGGGAACATCAAACATAGAGAAATGTTCCTCTGATGGCTCAGAGGAATAGGGACTCCCCATCTGTGGCATCAAAACAGGAAACGTGAAGAATCCCCATTCCCACTAATTTGAACTACAGCACTTGCAATGTAGGTTTTCCCTTTGCATGCCTGGAAATCCAAGCACCACAGGGCTCAGGTAGAGAAACCAAGAAACAGAATGGACAAGCAGAGGGCAGGTGGGTTGCCCAACTGAGCAAGCTACCATGGGTAGGAAGCAAATTGCATCAACACCATTGGAAAGGAGAAGAGTTTGATTCCAGCTTCAGCCATGAAAGTGGGAATGGGAGGCAGGGAAGCGATGTCCATGTTAAATGTGTGTTGACACGTGTCCCTTTGAATAAGGAGGAGGACAGCAGAAATTATTGGCAGGGAAATATGTTTTGAAATATGAAATCAAGTAGAAAAACAGTCCAGCCCTGCCTGTGCGAGGGCGCTGTCTTCTTTCAACAAGGATTCAACAGTGAAGACATCATTTTGGTCGAGACATCTGCACATCTGCTTTCCAGTTCTGCCCCTCCACTGGTTTAACCAACACAAGTGCAAGTGACCATAGGAAGGAAGGTACCACATATTACAAAATTAACCTGCGTTAATTAATCACAGAGGTGGGAGAAAGAGCAATGGGGACTGGGACATGGAAGAAACAGGGCAGCAGGACTCTGGTTTTCAATTGGAGTTGCAGTTGTGAACTGTAGCAGAGATACTTAAGCCCCTTCAAACTGGTTTGCTTAAGTCAGGAAGAAAGAGACTGACTTTTCATCTCCCTCAAAGCCCTCAGCATGCTGTAGTGTGTACAGGAACTTCCCTGCGGGAACCAAAGCAGGAGCTGCAGAAAGCAGGAGCACAGACACACGAGGCCACAGTTCCCCAATGAAACATTCCGGTCTCAGGCTGTCGGGCTCATAATCATTTCCAAGAATTATGAAAGGACCTTGACCCCAGGCCCTTCACAACGGGTTTTTGAGTGCCTGATAAAAGGCTCAGCAGAGGTGAACGAGCCCTTTTACTGGGGACCCACAAGGGGCTCTGGGCTCATGAATTAGTTGTGCCTTTATGGGGATGGATGGACGGGCAGTGGATCAGCGGAGCGTGGCTGGTTTACAGATCCAGATAACACACAGATAACAGAGTGGGGAGAAGAGGCACTTAAGGAAGATTTAATGATAGCTACTTGACACCAAACCATTCACACTGCAAATAGGGAGTCCCTATTCCTCTGAGCCATCGGAGGACATTAGTACATCTTGGAAGTAGGGGAAGGAAAAGGAAGACAGGGAAGGAGAATTGCACTTCAGTCCTGCCACGTTTCCTGCCAGTAAGAGGTGCAATGTTAAAAGCCCTCATGCCTCATGACAATCCAGGTACTGATGGCAGAGACTAACAGCCACAAGTGAGTCAAAAATCCAGTATGAGACTGACATGTGCTAGACTGAGCAAAATCATCACTCTCCACCCACTCTTTTCCCTTCTGAAGAACAGGAATATTTCTGTCCTCCTCCCCTTCTCTCTGCAGCCTCTACAGGGAAGTTGAGATTTAGTGATTTTAGAATGTTTTGTAGTGAAAGCAGATAGCAAGAGCTGTGCCTGCCTCCATGTCCCCAAGCCCTATTCCCCCTGTGCCATCAAATCTCTTTGGCCTAACTTACACAGTCAATGTTATCCGACATGTTCAGGATGATGTAGTTCTTCCCCGCAAGGTTGCTCCAGTCTTTGCAGATCACCTGGAGAGACAAGACAAAGAGCTGGGTTTGGGTAGAGAACGCAGCTCGCCTGCTGAAAGCACAGGGTACACGAGGGATGGGGCAGGGGGCTGTGACATACCCCACAGAAGCACTTCTCAAAGGGTCTAACTGTCCTCTAGCTCTGTACTAAGGAGGAAGCACCATTTCAGTGCTAGCACATGGGGCAGGGACAAGGTTACTATGCCAGCTTCCCACAGCCCAGCTTACCTTCCACCTCTGGACTCCAGGAGGACTCATACTCTGTCCAGCCTGATTCCATATGTGGTCAGCACTGAACACAAAACCTAACCAGGAGCCTCTCTGGTCCTTAAACTGGGGAGACAGGGCAGGATAGGATGCACAGAGGGACTAAGTCACTTGCTCAGGCTCCTGGGTACCGAGCGGCAGAAAGCAGCATTAAGTGCTTTCTCTGGTACTTTCTCACAGTCAGCTCCTGCTGCGTGTCCATCCTCAACCAGCTGCCAGTTTGCTGGATCCAGGAACTGCAGCTCACCTCACACCTCCTCTCCATAGGCTCTCCTAGACCTGCATCCTCACAGATTGCTGTACCCTGCTCTGCATCTGGTCCCTGCAGGCAGCATCAGCAAAAATAGCACTTCCTTCTCACTCCCTTTGCAGAAATCCTTAGGGCCATTTTCATCCTGACACTTCCAATAACGCAGGCTGAGGAAACAAGGAGCTTTTGCTGCTGTGCATGCCCCAGAGGGCAGGTGTTTATTAGAAGCAGGATTCTGTGCAGCAGTTTGCTGGGGATGATGTGAGGGGCAGGATGTTGGATACCCTGAACTGTGAAAACCTCTTCCCAAAACTGAGTTTTCGCTGGGTGAACAGAAGCAGCTACATCCACCAGCCAGATTTAGGGATGTGGGTATGGTTTAAGGGGTTAATGCCCCACCTCCACGACACCCCCAGAGAGGGATGTTCCCAAATAGCCCCACTGCAACCTCGCCCCCACTCCCTGCTCCCAGTGTTACCTGTGCTGAGTCCCAGGGCAGCTCCGTGGGCAGCATGGGCATGCGGGCATCCCCAGCCTGTGGTGACAAGCTCCTCTCTGCTGCTGCAGTCTCAGTGGCTGGCTCGGTGTCATTCCAAATGGGATCCAGCACAGGCTCATCAGCCCTGTCCCACGGAGATGCAGATGAAGTGTGGTGTTGCTCACTCCCAGATAAAGTCTGGGTGTCTGGGGAGCTGCCTGCAGGAGAGGGTGTCCCCACAAGCGTTTCCACTGTCTGCTCTATCTCAGTTAGCACCGTGGGCTCCAGCATCTCCCACCCCACCGTGGTCTCCGAGACCTCCTCTCTGGATGAAAGCTCTTCCCCATCATCCTCCACTGTGGTCTCTGCAAGCTCTGCTCTTGTCGTAGTCACAGTCAGCTCCGAATCTGCTCCTCCAACAGCCCACGTGTCCCCGGCTGTCACCTCAAAGGACTCTTCTGAATCACTGGGAGACCTTGCAGCAACAGTAGGTGAAAAAACAGAGGACACAGGCAGAAGAGCTGGTCCCATGCTACTCCCAAGGTCTGAGCCTGGGGAAACAGAATCCTCCTCTTGCTCTCCTGTGCCT